TTCTTGCGCAAGAAAGCCCGATGGCTAAAATGGCCATCGGAGCTTTCTTGCACAAGAGAGTGTCTACACTGGCACGGATGCTTTTGAGCAAAAGGAAATCTTTTGCTCAAAGGCACATGCCAGTATAGACGCTCTCTTGCGCAAATACTTTTAATGGAAAAACTTTTCTGTTAAAAGTATTTGCGCAAAATCATGCCAGTCTAGACGCAGCCGAAGTGTTCAGTAAAATGTGTTCTGCCACGGTCCCTGGCCTCATGTATGTCTCATTATACGACAGACATTTTTGGCCACTAAATCTTTTTTATTTTAAGTGGTATAATGGAACTGAGACTCACTGTCATGGTGCCTCCTGCAGATCACTCTGGGAATTAGCTCAGTCCTCAGCAGGGTGACCCCTTCTGGTGCACAGAGGAAGGGGAGGACCCAGGACCATCCACTACTCTGGGTCTTGGCCCAAGAGCCCTCTGGCAGCAGCCTTGTCCTACTCTCCTTCACTCCTTCTACAACCTCCTGCTCCTTGGGCCACTTCCTCTTTGACTCCCTGCATCGCCTTGGCCCTTGTGTCAAGGCCTGCAGCCTGGCAGAGGGGGGTTCAGCCTGATCCCTCTAGCTCTCCTGAGCCTACCCAGCACTGCTCTCCTGAAGGTGCTTCCTTGTAGGAACCAGTCTTGCATCCTCTCTGGTCAGGACCCAACTGCCTACTGCTCTACTAAGCAGCTCCTTATAACCAGGCTGCCTTCAAGCCTCTCCCCGATTGTCTGGGGTGCTGTGCAGGCTCCCTCCAGCCTGCATTAACCCCTTCTCCCCACTACAAGCAGCTATTGCAATCAATCTGTTTCGCTGCCCTGCCTGTTTTATTCTGTCCCCACTTGTCTTTCACTTATGGCTTCTCCTTACACATCTTCCTTTCTGACTTCATTGTGATTTTCATCCGTCTGAAGACAACCACATGAATCAAGTGTTAATCGTTTAACAATCTGATCCAGCAGTTCTTACTCAGACACAAGTCCCATTGATTTACCCTGACAGTTTTGACTGAGTAAGGACTTCAGGCTCATCCCCACAATCCTCTTTCCTTCGACCACTGTGGCTTGTGCTTAATGAGCCTTCCTTTTTTGTTTTAATACAGAGTCTTGCCACTGTTAATTAAATCATTCTGCCTGCTGAATCAGCCTGTTAGTTCTGCTTATGGAGGGTAGTTCCTGGTGTTTTGGTTTTTTTAAATTAGCTTCCATGCTAACCTTAGCTGGTCACAGAAACATTTGAATTTCCTGTAAAGCCTTCCTTATATTGTACAAACCTCCCCACCCATGGAGGACATGTGCATTGTTAGTTTCTTATTTTAAACTCTGTATAGTATCTACTTTATCACAGGGAATAAGGTGTGTGTGTGTGTGTGTGTGTGTGTGTGTGTTAGCTCAAGGTACTGATGTAAAAATAAGCCTATCTTAATGGTATCTGTATAAATACATATAGGACGAGTGTCCAGTCATCTGCAGCCCATTCTGTCACACCTGGAGTTCTTCTTTCTGAAGTGGGAGTTCTGGCTACCAAAAGAATAATGAATTGAGTTCCTAATGATTACAGCAGAGGATCTGAGACTCAGGACTCCTGGCTTCTATTCCTGGCCCTGCATCTAGTTTGCTGTGACATTGGGCTAATTACCCAAATGTTCAGTGCAACAGTTTCTGCAACTGTACAAGTTTTACCAGCAATGCCTCATAGGGAAATTTGTGATGAATAGTTTGCAAAGAATGTTGAAGTCAGTCTATGGGGATCTATGAAGATCTAAAGTACTACTTACTAACATAGCATCTCCAATAACTCTCTCTCACACACATACACTCACACAAGCCTGATCTAAGATTATGAATAAGAATTTCCAGTTATCACTTTGAGGGCTCATAGATTCTTGTCCCAAGATCAGGCTCAGTCAAATTATTATTAAAATGAACATATAGTTGGTAACCCCAATGTGTACAGATGCAACCTTCCCTTACCAATGTTAGTGTCCTCCTTCTATGGTTAGTGTATTTATGAATCCACCCCATTATCATATATGTCAGTTTGTTGCCATGAGACTTTTACCATTGAATGTTCTATCCAAAACCTTCCAGAAGCTACTCTTAGTTCATGTTTCTATGGTTGGCAGATATCATTATGGAAACAATTCCTCTCTATACTGTACTCTATTTCTAGTTTCCCAAATCTTAAATTTTCTTAATTTTAATCTCTGCTATAATTTGTAGGCTTTAAGCCTCCTACTAACTGCTGAAACCAATGTCTTACAGAATGGAAACCTGTATGTTCCTTGTATTACTGCTGAATATAATAATGTTGAATTGTTGTGCAAAACAGCAAATATAATAGAGATAAGATGGCCCACTGGGCTACAACCCTTAGTTATCAGACATGATGAAATTGGAGCTAAAAGATAAATACATGTAAGTTAAAATATTTCTATGAAGGAAATTGAAGGATTTTTGTTTTATATTTGTAAATAGTCAGTGATGGATAACCATGGCCACAGTAAATTTATTTGACATTCATAATTAGTTAGTAAAGGATGACCATGCACACTGTAATTGAAAATCAAATTTTACAGTGGATTTATTAAAGGCAAAGAAAATCTGTAACCTCATGTAATTCATAAACTGAATATATCATTTGCCAGGGGCTAATTTGCAATTTCCTCTAATTTATTCATTAAGGTATCTGATTATTTTTAGAAGTTTCTTTTAACTCTCTGGCTTGATCACAGGCAGCCAAAGGAGAAAATAAGCTGGTACATCCCGGTGTGATGTGCCAGTAACAAAATGGTTGGCTGGAACTGGGTCTCTGCTGTACACCCACCCCCGGGTCCCCTAGTCCTCTTTCCATTTGTCTGGGAACAGGAGCAGCGTGGGGCAAGGTCACCAACTAGGACTGCCCAGTCTCCGCAACACACTAAACCCACCCACACCTACCCCAACCCTCTGCCCTGACTCGTGCACCACCGCACATTCCAGACCCCTGCCCTGAGCCCCTCACACCTCCAGCCCCCTGCCCTGACTCCCCTACCCTAAGCCCCTGGCTTGCGTGTCTAGGGTTGCAATATGACAGTTCCTATAAGAAATGTTAATCACTTTCATCCTTGCAGATGTCTGTGCATATTTACTATCTAATCTGTATTGGTCAGTTGGGTATGATTTCTCTTTCTGTGGCTGAACTGAGAGTATCAGTCCTTCCAGTTTGTCTTCTCACTTCTGGTAACTTAAAATGCATGACTTGGAAAGTCAGTTCCCATGAACTTTCAGCCAGTTAAATTTGATTGCATGAAAGTATGTGGGAAGCAAATACCTGAGGCATGGCTGGAGCAAAATCATTGAGGGTCAGATTCTGATTCACTACTTACCTTACCTGCAGCCCTAAAAATGCAAAACGACGATTAATGGAATTGTTTTTAGTGTTCACCCAGACCCACCCAATCTTTCTAGCCTCTATACAGTTCTTTATTGCATTCTCTTTCAAACATTCAATTATGTTACATTTTCAGTAAACACTACAGTTTTTATATGTTATATGTTTTACTGTTATAATTTACCTCCCTGGCATAATAACACAGACAGACAGCAAACTTGGACTAATAACATAGTAAAGAGACTGTGGGCCTGATTCTACATTCCCAGTGCATTGTCAAATCCTATCGTGACCAGTGGAAATTTGAGGTATATGGAGGTATAGTGCAGAGCCTATGTAACATGCTTATTAAGCTTTATAGGCAATATTCATTTTGGCTTGGGGCCCAGTTGTGCAAACTTTACTCAGCATGATGAGCATCTGCCCTTGTGGGGAGACCAATTAAAGTAAATTTAACTTTTCGTGGGAGTGAGGATGCAGCTGTATAAGTGATGCAGAGTTGGCTCCTTGATGTCTACAGTGCCTAGCAAAATGGGGTCCTGATTTCAGTTGTGAGGTGCTGCTGATTAAGAATAATAATCAGGTTTTCCTTTCTGATACAGGCAGTCCCTGAGTTACGCGGATCCGACTTATGTTGGATCCGCAGTTACGAACGGGGATTTTCTCGCCCCGGAGGACTGGAGCGGCAGGACGCCTGGTCCCGCCGCCCGCCTCCTCCGGGGCGAGAAAAGCTGCTCCCCGTCTCCCTGGGCTGCTGCGGGAGGCAGCCGAACCGGGAGACAGG